GAATGGATTCTTGTCTGAGACTGTGCTTTTCAAAAACAGCTGCTTTAATTAATTTTAAGTCTGCAGCTAGGCAAAGAAGTTGATTATATTACATGCCGTTACCATAAGAAGCTGCAAAGTTTAATCGTTGCAGTGTAATACACAAACAAGGAACATTTAAGCAATAAAAAAAATTGTTGTAGTTTGCATAAAAGGTAATTCAGATTGTAGAGATTGTAAATACTTTGAGACATTTCTATTCAATAGAAAATTCAAAGAACTTTTCAGCCAAATTAACTCTTCCATATACCATTGTGAATTTGTGTTGTACATGACCAGTCTTTCGGTCTGTTTGCTGTGTGAGAGTTTAGTGATAATCAGTTTCTAGTGTGAATTAGTGATTGTAAACTCAATTTTCAACAGAGGTGAGCTGATAATAGAAAATCCATTGAAGCAGACCACAGTGGGCACATATTGGATTCACCACATGTGATGTGAATTAGTAGAACATGGTCCAAAGGACCACTAATAAGTTCACAGGGGGCATCCATTTATGTTACTATTTATAATCACTACATAAACACTGGTTAAGTTAGCTGTGCCCTGCCCAATTAACCTATACAGTAAATTCTGTATTGGAGCAGAATCAGATCAAGAACAAACTGAACCCAATGTAGGTTTTTAACCTTTGGGATTGTTTTCAATGCACTTCTAATGTGTTGTGCCCTGTGCAGTAAATTTAGTACATTTGTATTACAAGAGCAGATCTTTCTATGCAAATTAGTTTGATACATTAACATGGTATATTGGACTATATGGTAGTAAAGGAAAATGGTGCATGGAGTAAGCCTATTACACAGGAGAATGTCACATGCATATGAATTGAGTTGTTAGGCACGTAATGGCTAGCAGGTTTAACAGAATAGGTAATCAACCTAATGATTAGACAGTAAGTAACTGTAAAGCTGGCCATACATGGATCAACATTTGGCCGGTTTAGCAGGGACCTTGCAGTTTATCAAACAAAGTTAGAAGCAATTATGCAAAAAGGATCAGAATGGGAAAAAACATGCATATACTTCAGAACAATAAATAACAAGTTTGGGGTGGCAAAACAGAAATATGTTGCAGAATAATGAACGCACAAGCATGTACTCTTCACAGCAATGTCTCCATGACTCAACTCAACCAGGGTAATATGTCTTTGTAAGACTATATACCAACAAGGAGTAAAGCTAAGAGACATTACTTTAAAAAAAACAGCACAGACCATAAACAGATACTTGTGATTATCCTCATAAACAGTGTCCCTCACAGTGAAGTCCAAGGGAGCTCTGGTCACACAGGTGAACAACTGTAGGGATCAAAGGCCTGAGGACAAAGGACCATCCTACTGAAATTGCAGTACTTTGGTAGCAATCAGGGAGTGGCTTCCTTCAGTAACTTGGTCTTCCAGAGAAGCTGCATTCTATAAGGCTATGGCCTGGCATCAGATGACAGTGGAGAGCCACAGACCTGGCTGCAGATCACTTTCCCAGTTATCTTTGCTTCAACAGTCGTGGCTTCTTTGAGCTGCTAAGAGAAGGAAGACTGAGATATGTAACTTTCCAATGTGTGTCCGGGAACACTAGGAGTTGTAGGAAATGGATATAAAGGGGCCTACCTTTGCATATGTGTATGGTGAGTAAGTGGGCAATCCACTAGACAATCTCTGATTGTTCCGCCAGCAATTTTCCCAGTCAAATCTTGCAGCTGAGAATTTTACATTGTGTTGTTGATGGCTGAATCCAGAAGTTTGAGTCTCACACACCCTAGGCACTCATCTAGGTACCTAAATGTGTAATCTAGCCTTGCTTTGGGCATCTTAAAAGAAAACACTTTATTGTAGGTATCTTCTTTAGGACATCAGCTGTTCTCATTAGCAGCATTCCCAGCATTACAAAAGTCCAGATTGTAACATGAATTTAAAACAATCATGCATAAAATTCTGCATTAAAGATGAACTTTGGGCAAAATTTTTATCTTCCCATGCAGTAGGGCTGTGCCTGCACTGCATGGGCTAATTGCTTGTTTTGTCCAGGGGCACAAGGAAAAGCTATATTTATGCAATTCTTTGATCCTCCCGACATTCAGCAGTGGACTGTTCCTGCCATCCTCATGTCCAGAGCCATGGGAATGATGATGTCAGGAACAGTCCATTCACAAGATTGCTAGCCGGTTGGGGGGGGGGGGGGGGCAGGAACCGCAGGGACCAGTCTTGCACTCGCAGGATCGGTGGATTATGTAAGTATATTATATAAATATAAACAACTCAAACCCAACTCAATTTATATAACTCTAATATCGCTAAACATCAATAGTGCTCTTCACCACACCATACATTTATTAATATATGAAAAGATGTAGCACAATATTCCTGAACTTTAATTGTAAATAGAAAAAAAGTCCATAAAAATGTGAATAATCCGTCACCAAAAAGTTAAAATTATGTAATCTTCCACATCAAAATGTTAAAAGTCTTTCACCACTACGATAGGATCTTGTGTAGTCTTTCTTAATCTTCCAATCCTTTAATAGTTATCTCTCAGCATCCTCCAGTGCAATATATATGTTCACCTTTACAACTGGACCCCAATTTAAATCAAGGTCACACAGGCATAATTTTACTAATCTCAGGAGATGTCTCAAGCATTCCACTTCCTTCTTCTTCTCCTTCCTCTGTTTCAAGCTCGCAAGCACAGATGCATGCAAACAAAAATAAAAAATCTAGTGCTCTCCATACACAAATAATCCACTTATATTTATCCAAGTAATGCACTCACATTATTATTATGCATGCATGCAAACAAATATATACATCCAGGATCAGAGATGGAGACAGATATGTATCCTTTGTTATCACTGGTTCCTCACCTCCTAACAAGGACCCCAGTATGAATATTAAGGTCATATAGACTTGTAATAACTCCTCCAATGCAATATATCATCCACTTTCCTTCAATGCTCTCCTCCTCCCGCAGTAAAACAGTGGCAGGTCAGATCACATGCAAATACAGAAATAGGACCAATAGTGTGCTCTGGTAAAAACACTCTTTATTAAAACTATTCTGCAATCCCCTAGACAAAAATGAGCAGTTAACCCATACAGTGCCGGCACAGCCCCACTGCATGGGAATATAAATTCTTCTTTAAAAGGAGAGAAAAACTGCACCTTTAGCTGATCCAGGGGAAGGTTTAAACTTCTAAGCTTTAAAGAGGAACTCAGAAAGTGAAGATTTCACTGTGTTATAGAGAACGTTTGGAAATGTTAATTGTGCTTAAGCAGTACAATACTTTTTGTTTTGAAATTCTTATGAAAAATTCCTGGTATGTGATTGTGCCTAGCTGCTCCTGTATCTACAGCCTCATAGCTGGATTTCTGCAGTGTGCGATTTAAAGTACTGCTGTTTATAACTGCTAGTCTCTGAAGATTTTGAGTGAGATTTGGTGAGGTTAATACTGTATTGCTTACTTTTCTTTTTACTAGACTTATTTACATGAGTAAGCAAAACCCTGCCTGACACCAAAATGGCTAACTCTACAAAGAGACCAAGAAGGCTTTTCACTGCTACAGGGTGGCCCCCCTGTGCAAAATTACGTATATATATGTGAGTTTGCACTTCTGCCATAGGGGGCACATGCGTCGCCAGCTGCTCGCTTCTGCTGTGAACACCCACAGTAGAAGCCAATCTGCGAGAAAGAACAGAGCTCTGCCTATGTAAACAAGGCAGAGCTCTGTTCTGACAGGTGGGGAAGTGAAAGATCCTGTGTCCCTGCAAAGCTGGGAACTTGATCCTTCACTTCCCCTAGTAAAGGGCACCACCTAGTGTACACCAAGCAAATAGCTAGGCACACATTTAACTCTTTGATTGCCCTAGATGTTAACCCCTTCCTAACCAGTGTCATTAGTACAGTGATCAGTGCATATTTTTAGCACTGATCACTGTAATAGTGTCACTGGTTCCCACAAAGTGTCAGAGTAAAAATATCTGCCGCAACATTGCAGTCCTGCTGTAAGTCACTGATTGCTGCCATTACTGCTATAAAAATAAATTTGAAAATTTCCAGTATATGTCCCATAGTTTGTACGCGCTATAATTTTTGTACAAACTGATCAACATATACTTATTTGGATTTTGTTTTACCAACAATATGTAGCAGAATACATTTTGGCCTAAATTTATGAAGAAATTAGATTTAAAAATTTTTTTTTATTGGGTATGTTTTATAGTAGAAAATAAAAAATGTTTAGTTTTTCAAAATTGTTAGTCTTTTTTTGTTTAGAACACAAGTGAGAACCGCAGAGCTGATCAAATACCACCAAAAGAAAGGTCTATTGGTGGGAAAAAAAGGACACAAATTTCATTTATGTGCAGCGTTACATGACCATGCAATTGTTAGTTAAAGTAACACAGTGTCGTATCACAAAAATGGCGGGGGTAAATATTCTGGAGGGCAAGTGGTTTTAATAAGGCTCTTGCATCAATTGTAAATCTAGTTGGAAGCCTTGCACAAAATGTATGAAACCCATGCAACATTTTTAGTATTAGTATTGATACATGTATCAATTTCATGTACTATTTTGCTTTTACGTTTACTCCACTGTATCTATTATGGCATCATAAATAAATACCATATCAATAAGAAACGTGGAAGTATATAAAACTTCTACCATGTTGGTTGTGTTGCACGTGTAAGTATTGTTTCACATCACTGAGACAATTCTGCAGCAAAATACCACATAGAAGCCATTTAAAGAAGCTACTGTAGGTTATTTCATCAAATACAGTGGACAGATCATCAGGTTTTCATTACTCTCCCAACTGCTTCAAATAACCTCTCTGCTTGTAATGCTCCACCACTTTAGTGGAGACATGCTTCTGTTAAAGTTGTGCTACATTCATATAATTCTAACAGTCACATATATGAATCTGTCTCAAGTTGCACAATTTGTTACACTACCAGGGGAGGACTGACAGCTCATGGGGCCCCTGGGCAGTAGGGGATCATGGGGCCCCTGTGTCCTTGACCACACTCAAAGCACACCCAAAAAAGCCTATAAAAGGTACCAGGAGCATTTCATGGGGCCCCCTACTGACCCTGGGCCCTCGGGCAGTGCCCGAGTGCTCTAATGGTCAGTCCGCCCCTGCACACTACTACAGAACACATTTTGAATGTGCATCTATGACAATCTTTATAAATTTCACAGACAGGAAGACTGCAAGTAATATTGGTAACTTGTCCTTTGCCCTCTGTTTCAGAATTCAGCTCTTCCTTAACCTCTTCTGACCACCTCCTAGCAGCCCTTTAAGTAGTTCTTAACACAGCAAGGTGGAAGTCATGTACCAACCACATGATCGCTGTGATTGGCTCTGACAGTGGTCACATGGTCAAAACCCAATCCAGAGAGTTCCTGATAACAATCTGTTGATGGCAGCTCAGACATTAAGGGGTTTATTTACTAAAGCTGGAGAGTCCAAAATCAGACTCCCTTCTGCATAGAAACCAATCAGCTTCCAGGTTTCATTGCCAAAGCTTCATTGAACAAGCTGAGGTTAGAAGCTGATTGGTTTCTATGCAGAAGGGAGTCTGATTTTGGACTCTCCAGCTTTAGTAAATAAACCCCTAAGTGTTCTCTCAGCACACAACCTCTAGTCCTCATAGACTTATATGTGAAGCAGCTGGGCATTAGGGTACACCCACCGTTTGAGGAGTGTTAAAAATGCTTCACAAATGCCTGCCTAACGCTTGTCAAATGCTATAGGGGCGTTTGGCAAGAGTTAGAAATAAAGTCAAGTGTGAATGAGCCCTTACAAAGACTAATAAAGTAGGGTGCTGTGGCTTTAAATACCAAAATTGAATTAGGTTGTATGACTGTATGGACAAAGCACACTTGATTGATTGGAACAAAACATAAATACACCTGCACCTAAAGAGAATAAATAAAAACTTGCAGCTGCTGTCCCAACCCCAAAACAGCATGAAAACAACCACGTATATAAAAAACAGTGCTTGCAACACAAATAAATGTGCAATACTTCCAGTAAAAATCATGTAAAATAAATATCTGCTTAAATATAAATAAAGATGAATAAAAGTCCCGCACGTGTACTTTTATGTCACATGCCAAATATTAAAGACCAAACTACATCACTTGTGCTTGTGTTGTAATAAGAACCACCATGTGCTCCAATCCACCACGTGCCCAGGAAACACTCCACACTCACCAGATGCCAATGACCTCTTGTCAAAAAACAAGTAAATGAAATGCACTTGTTATAACTCCTCAGGAGCCAGAGCCACTGAATAGGAACCCTTGGATCAACCCAGGGGTGGACTGACCATTTGGAAACTCGGGCACTGCCTGAGGGCCCAGGGTCAATAGGGAGCCCCATGAGATGCCCCTGGTACCTTTTTCATAGGCTTTTTTGAGTTTAGGCAAGGCACAGGGGCCCCATTATCTCCTATTGCCCGGGGGCCCCATGAGTTGTCAGTCCACCCCTGGATCAACCTCCGCTTCTCCAGGACAGATGTTCCCACCAGATAGTATGCCAAACACACTTGCCACACCCAGGCCATCCAGTCATATAAGGCTTTTAGAGAGAGAGGAGGTGTCCTCCCATAGCATGAAACAGTTTATTTAAAATAAAAGTACCATAATAATCAATTGCGCTCATGTACAATGAAGAAGCACAGCAAATGAAGTAGCCGCCAGTCACCCAGCTATCTGGCTGCTAAGAAGGCATCCATGCATGAGTGCTCCTGAGTTGATCTATGTGCATCCTAAGACACACACACAGTGCCAGCAAGTCATGCACCTGCACCTTCCTCAGAGGAGTTTTGCTGACAGCAGCAGGGGCTTATGGCTTCTACTGCTCTCAGATACTCCTGTAAGATCAGAAAAGTGGAGAGTTGCTGGATCAGTGAGAGCTAGATAAGTATTTATGAATGTGGGGGAGTTAGTGAGGTGCTTTTTACCTTAATGCACAGAATCCATTAAGGTAAAAGACATCTAGACTTTAGAAGCACTTTAACCCCTTCAATGACACTCAGTAAGGACTAGATTCCAAAATATAACAAGTATTACCTATTGGAAAGGAAAAAAACCTTGTTTCACATAGCCACCATTCAAAATTCTTATTTAATATTTTTATAAACTAATATGTGAAACTAAATTAGTTGCTATTGGTAGCAACTCTATTTTTTTTATTATTTTTTAATGAAATCATAAACAGTGTCTTTCAATTATTATAACAAGAGCAACAACCCAAAACACAACTATAAAGAGGGGAGTATAAGGTTTCTCCTTAAAAAAGCTACAATTGCATCACTTTTCCCAGTACTAGATTTAGGAGACCTCTAGGTGTCCTTGTCTTCTGGCATCTACTGGATGCAGCAATTTTACCCATTGTGATCAGGTTTCTATAATTTTTTTTAAACAATACTGGTTCAGTTCCTGCTAAAACTGCTTCATTGTTCTGTTGAATATAAACAGAGACAATGTACAGTGAGTCAGTTGCAGTCCGGGACTGTTTCAAAATGTGTGCGCAGTTATTTTGATAAATAGTGAATATTTTTTACAGCATGTACACAAATAACCTGACAAGCTTATGCAATTGCATTCAAATACCTACAAATAACTGCAGAAAATATGTACGAGAGCTTGACATCAATCCTCATTTAGAAAAGTTTGGTTGTCATTGCTGAAATGCTAAGGTCATGGCTATGACCTTTGCTGAAAGCACTAGTCAGACTTTTAGGAGTCAACCTCTATGTTGTGGAAGTGGGAGCTGGTGTGTCATTTGCTGGACGACTAGGCCCAGTCAGGCATAACTGATGCATTGTCATAACACTTCATGATTTTAGATTTTGGCCTTGTCATTTTTTTCTAATCTGTTTTTCTAGGGAAATTATGATCCATTTCTAAGTGCCATCATGCTAAAAATAGAACATTGATTACTTTATACAAGACGTGCTAATAGATTTGTTCTGCAATAGGTAGGTGACAGCAGAGTATTAAGTTGTTCAGATGCATCACAATAACAAACTGGCATGAATGGCCTGCTTTGCATTTTTGTCTCCATTAAATTGGAATATGAGGTGAAGCTTCCACAAATATACGTGTAATAAAAGATAATGAACAATATTGACCTATGAGCTAACTTCGGCTGAGCACAAAGGGAATTAAAATTTTGCACTCAAGGCTACAACATTAGCAATAGTAATAGTGTAGGATGTCTAGGTCTTCAAAAATGCAATTAGAGTTACATTGTATTTTATACATTGCACAATATTCAAGGGTTTATCTGTTTATAAGGCACCCCCCTTTCTACTGTGATTTGCTCAGAGTAAGAATACAGGGGAGTTTCTACACCTGCAGTTCCTTTGTAAACAATAGTGACAGCTGATTCTCACATGTGCTGTGTAGATTGAAGCTCAGGTTTCACAGCTAATTGATACAATAGTTGTTCATTGGTTCATGCCAGGTTTACATCAAGTTGAGGACAGGATTAGCTCTCAGGATTATCCTGTTCACACGTGCGGTTTAGAAACGGTTCCCATAGAAGTCAATAGCCTGTAATCCACACCTGAACCTGAAGACAGTGCTCAGAAATTATACATGACTCTTTTTCAAACTGCACTGAATCTGCATTGCCAGTGCACCAGACATATGTGAACAGGCACCCTAGGAAGCAATGTTTTTTCACATGTCATGTATCCACATTATATGTGAACCGGCACTGAAACCCTTGTCAGACTATTTGTTCCGTCCTTGGCAGCTATTCAATGCGGTACAGTTACACCACAATTGAAAGTCCTAGCCAGTATTTGAAGAACACTCTTAGTACAAAATAGCTGATTTATAGAGGAGCTACCCTTTTTTTTTGCTTTTATATTTAAATATGAAATGAATCCTCTATGTACATAATCTTTGTATTTAAAATAATGTTTGTATGCACAGTTTGCACAATATGTGTACATAGTGAGAGACATATACAAGGTGTTTACAGAAAGTAATGAGTAAAAATTATTTTATTGAAACTATTTTTAATTGAACATTGTCATTGAAAGTATGCATTGAAACAAATCACAATGGCTCCCAGTGATTTGTTTCATTCTTCATAGCATCCCTGGAAGTCTTCAAGTAGGATGGCATTCATAGCCTGCATAGTGACTCTTTGGACATTATCCACACTACCAAAATGTGTTCTTTTAAACCCTTCTTCATCTTTGGGAATTTGACAAAGTCACAAGGAGCCAAGTCGGGGCTGTAGAGTGGATGGGGAAGCACCATGATGTGTTTTTCAGCCAAAAACTCTCTGACAGCCAAAGCACTGTAAAATGGTACATTGTCATGTTGAAGCATCCAAGTTGAGCCAATCTCAGGATGCAAACAAAAAACTCTTTGTTTCAAGTGACCAAGAATTTCCAGATAAAATCTTTGATTCACCTTTTGACCAGTAGGTACAGTAGGTACAAATTGTTTATAGATACTTCCACATGAATAAAAAAAAAAAACAATGACCATTGATTTGACTTTTGATTTGTGAGCCATTCTGAATTTTGTTTCTTCATCTCGGGATTGTACTCAAACACCCAGGATTCATCTCCCATGATCACTTGATCACTTGACTCAAAAAAATCAGGCTGTCTTTCCAAACAGACCAACAGGTCTTGGCAAATGAGTTTACGGTATTCCTTCTAATCAGATGACAGTTGTTTGGAACAGGTTTTGCACACACTTTTCTCATGTTCAAATCCTGAGTGACGATTTTATGACCAATTGACTTGGTATTTGCTGTTTCCTTTCTAATCATTCTGATAGTGAGTCATCAGTCACAATTGAGAACAAACCTCACTACATCCACATTCTGTCCCATTTTTGATGAAGAGGGGTGGCCTGATCATTGTTTGTCTTCAACACCCTCTCATCCTCTCTTGAAGGCCTTCTGCCATCGGTACTCTTGAGCAGATGATAGCGCAGTTCCTCCATAAGGTTTCCTCACCATTTCCAAAGTGCACTTTTACCCATTTTCACACAAATTTTCACACAAGTTTATTGCATATTGTTTTTCCACTTGCATTTTTCTTAATGCAAGGCACTTGAACAGGATGTCACAAAAAAAGAATGTCTCAACTCTGACTGGGCTGAGATGCAACTGATCAGTGGTCTAATATTTGGCACCCCACCCCAAGTGACCTTATCCAGCTTCACCCTGCACAGAGCCATTCCCGAGTGTAGAATCTTAATTCTCATTATATTCTGGACACACCTTGTATCTGTTTATTGTATATACAGGCTCTGCTTCAGTTTCCCTACCACAGTTCTACACATTGCTTGTACTTTTCATTTATCTCACTACAAATCTACCAGACAGGATCTGTCCAATTGCAAACTATGAATTTTCTATAGTCTTGCCAGCCATGCTCTTGGTAGCTAGACACCATATAATTATGCATTGGCTTTAGGTAATATAAGATATCTGTTGAATGTCATCTTTTATTCATGGCATGAAAAAGGTCACTTTTTTCTAAAAATGTAATGTGATGTAGTAATGCTGACATGAATTTCCCATGTTTAATCCACTTAAAAATGCTTCAAGCATAGAAAAATAACTTTTGATTTTCCATTTAGCTCCTAACTTCCCATTTGGGCAGACATCACTGCCTCCGCTGCATTGAAATCCCAAGCAGTGTGTTTAACCCTGTCCATTTCACTTCTCCCAGATTGTAGAATCCCTTTCTCATCCCTTTCCAATCTCAAATCTTTCCTGTTTTTACACTCTCTACATTCACTTCTTCCTGTACATTTTGTATAAATTTGCTGCTTCTATCATATTGGTCAAAGCCATTTATTTATTGAATGGGTGTGAAGTTTAACACCTTCCCCCCTGGCCTTTGCAGATTAACTGCTGGACTGGACACTCCTCACATGACATCCTGTCAGAAGGCACGGAACACACAGCCGCAAAACCATCTGTCACTACACTGGTCCGCTGCCAGTGTCATGTGACTACTGTGACCAGGGGCGGACTAACAACTCATGGGGCCCCCGGGCAATAGGGGATCATGGGGCCCCTGTGTCCTTGCCCAAACTCAAAAAAGCCTATGAAAAAGGTACCAGGGGCATCTCATGAGGCCCCCTACTGACCCCGGGCCCTCGGGCAGTGCCCAAGTTTCCAAATGGTCAGTCCGCCCCTGACTGTGACCAATCACAGCAGATTGCATGACAATTGTATACAATGGATGGCTTTCTTTCATGCCATCCATTGTATACAATTATGTTGTTAGCTGTGATTGACCACAGCGGTCACATGGTACAGAGAGAACCAATCACAGCCCATCTGTACCACATGATGAGCTTTGACCAGTCACAGCTAATCACAACAAAATACTGAATTAATCAGTTTCATTCAGTAAAAATTTAATAAAAAGAAAAAATAATTGAAAAAATGTTTTACATACAGTCATCAGTGTCCTTGATCACCACTACACCAGTTATAGGATAATGCTGCACTGAACTGGTGACAATATGTAAAAAATAAATTATGAATTTTTTTTTTTATTTTTTAATTTTCTGAAAAATTGGGACAAAAAATTACAACTTCAAAAAACTTGCCATGCCTCTTACTAAATACATTGGACTGTCTATTTTCCAACAATGGGTCATTTGGGAGATATTTGTACTATCCTGGTGTTTTTTCGGGCCTCATGAAATGAGATTAGCTGTCAGTGTATCAGGATTGATTGGTTGTCAGATATATACAGTTAGGTCCATGTATATTTGGACACAGGCACAATTTTATTTTTTTCAGGTATTTACCAAAACATATTCAAGCTATAGTTATATAATGGATATGGGCTCAAAGTGCACACTCTCAGGTTTAATTTGAGGGTCTGTACATCCAAATTGGAGAAAGGGTTTAGGAATTACAGCTCTTAAGAGTAGCCATCCCCCATCACCCCCTGGTGATTAAATACCACCAAAAGAAAGCTCTATTTGTGTGAAAAAAATGCTAAAAATGTTTTTTGGGTAGAATGTTGCATGACTGCGCAATTGTCATTCAAAGTGTGACAATGCTGAAAGCTAAAATTGCCAGGGCAGGAAGAGGGTAAAAGTGCCCAGTATTGAAGTGGTTAATAGGGTATCAGATTTCACATGTCCCACTCATGATCCACTCATGATTTTCTTTCTAGCTGATATATATATATATATATATATATATATATATATATATATTATTTGATCCGCTGCAGATTTTGTAAATTTGCCCACTTACAAAGAGATGAAGGGTCTATAGTTTTCATCATAGGTGTATTTGAAATGATAGAGACAGAATATCAACAAAAAATCCAGAAAAAATACATGATACAAATATTATAAATTGAGTTGAAGTTCAGTGAATAAAATAAGTATTTGATCCCCAAGCAAAACATTACTTAGTACTTGGTGGAGAAACCCTTGTTGGCAAAGAGGTAAGACGCTTCTTGTAGTTGGTTACCAGGTTTGCACACATCTCAGGAGAGATTTTGGTCCACTCTTCTTTACAGCTCTTCTCTAAATCCTTAAGGTTTCTTGGCTGTTGGCTGGCAACTCGAAGTTTCAACTCCCTCCATAAATTTTCTATAGGATTAAGGTCTGGAAACTGGCTAAGCCACTCCATGACCTTAATGTGCTTTTTCTTGAGCCACCCCTTTGTTACCTTGGCAGTATGTTTTGGGTCAATGTCATGCTGGAAGACCCATCCACGACCCATCTTCAGTATTCTGGCTGAGGGAAGAAGGTTCTCATCCAAGATTTTACAATACATGGCTCTGTCCATTGGCCCCTCAATACGGCAAAGTCGGTCTGTACCTGTAGCAGAGAAACAGCCCCAAAGCATAAGGTTTCCACATAAATAAATATAAATATACATTAATATTCCTGGCTATGTTCTTTTTTGGAGAGACAGAATAAATAGGAAAGGTGGTGGTGATGTCTGTCTCTATGTGAGAAGTGATCTCAGAGTGAGTGTGAAAGAGGAACTAGTTGATGGAGAGTGGAGTGTGATGAGGCTGAAGTATTATGGGTGGAACTGCACATGGGGGTGCGTACTACAAAGGTAATCATTGGAGTTTGTTATAAGCCTCCCAGTGTTAATGAGGAGGTGGAAACTCAGCTCCTTGCACAGATCGAAAGGGCAGCAAGGGCTGGAACAGTGATAATAATGGGGGATTTTAACTACCCGGAAATTGACTGGAGTAATGGTATTACAGGAACAGATAAACGGGCCTCTCGGGGGGATCAGGAAGGAATTTTTTTAAACCTACTAAAAGACACTTTTATGGTACAGTTCATAGAGTCCCCAACTAGGAGTGATGCTCTGCTGGACCTGGTATTCTCAAACCATATTACGAATGTCCATATAAAAGAACATCTGGGTAGCAGTGACCATAACATGATTTTCATTTATTGTTAGCTGTAAACATCAAGCATATACGGTAAAAATAAAAACGCTCAATTTCAAGAGAGCTAATTTTCCAAGGCTGAGAGCTGCTCTCCAAGACTTGAACTGGGAGGGAATATTGGCATTGATGAACACAACACAGAAATGGGAGTTCTTCAAAAAGACTGTATGTGAACACACTGCAAAATATATTCCCATGGGCAACAAATTTAAAAGGCTAAAATTCAAACCTATGTGGCTTACGGCCAAAGTTAAAAAGGCTATAGATAATAAGAAAAGACCTTTTATTCAATATAAAAATGAAGGAACACTATCATTGTTTAAACATTACAAAGAATATAACAGAATATGCAAAAAGGAAATAAAGGCCGCAAAAAATTTAAAACGAACGACAGATTGCAAATGATAGCAGGACCAACCCCAAAAAGTTCTTCAAATATATTAATAGTAAAAAGGTCAGGTCCAAGCATGTAGGCCCTTTACAAAATAATCTAGGGTGGGTGACTGGGGACAAAGAGAAGGCAAATTTATTTAATACCTTCTTCAGCTCTGTGTATACAAAGGAGCATGGGAGAGCTCTTGTCCATAATGGGCATGGTATTGATACAGCTCCAGATGATCCACATTGGCACACAATTGATATGATCCAAAAATATTTAGACAGTATAAAGGTGAATAAAGCACCTGGACCGGATGGCATACACCCACGGGTCCTTAAAGAATTGAGCTCTGTTATTTCAAAGCCATTGTTTCTCATTTTTAGGTACTCTTTAATTACTGGCATAGTACCACTGGATTGGCGTAAGGCCAATGTGGTGCCAATATTTATAAAGGGGTCATAATCTTTACCAAGTAATTATAGACCTGTTAGTTTAACTTGGTTGGGAGGATACTGGAGAGTTTAATAAAACACCACATAGATGAGTTCTTGCTGGAAAAAATATTTTAAGCAACAGACAGCATGGATTCATGAAAGACAGAAGTTGTCAAACAAATCTGCTTTCTTTTTATAAGGTGGTGAGCAAAACCTTGGACAGAGGGGTGGCAGTGGACGTGGTATACTTGGATTTTGCAAAAGCATTTAACACAGTTCCCCACACACGGCTAATGTGTTAGGTAAAGTCTACGGGCTTGGAAAAATCCGTATGTAAATGGTTAGAAAACTGGCTAAAAGATCGTATTCAGAGAGTAGTGGTTAACTAGAAAAGCTACAATTTCTTGGGAAATTGTGTGAAGTGTTCTTGCCTCCACCAGTAGTCTACAACTGGAGTGGGCGGAGTAACTGGGTGGAGTGGCTTGAGTAACTATTGTGTAGTTGGAGTGGCTGGAGTAACTGTGAAAAGGTTGGACTGGGCAGAGTAACTTTATGGAGTGGGCAGAGTAACTTTATGGAGTGTTTGGAGTGAGTAAAGACAGTAAACATTACACTAACCAATTGATTGATCAAATTTAAAAAGTGCACATAGCAAGCTTGACAGACTGAGAAATGCATTTTAACTTTTAATTATTTATAGTTTTAAAAACTATAAATTCTACAGCGAAGAGCTTTATATTGTGAGAATCACAAGACCCAGACCTACATTTTGATGCATAGTATGTCTCTGAAATATTAAAAATGAAGGCACAGTCGCAGTTTAGAAATTGCCCTTCAGATTTGAGGTGGCTAGAGTGGACTTTCAATGAATGTCAATGGGCGGCGTGAGTTGCAAACAAATGGTCATATTGTGAAAACTATCAGGACTATGGCTTAGCCGTGGACATTTTTAGTGGCAGCAGGGATAGCTGAACGTTTTGATATAAGATTTGTGTAGGTGGGCTTGAAAATGAGGGAGTGATGGCAGTTTAGAAATCATGTCCTGATTTTTCAGCTCACACTCTAGCTTTTGTCAGCTCCCACTCTAGTTTTGAACATTCCGCCATTCATTCCTATGGGACCAATTTCACCACAAAAACGCCGATATTTCGTGAACCATTCGGCAAAACGTTCCACAAAGTAATAGCACACCAATCGGGAACAATCCACACGTTTCAGTATATTACTGTCTATGTGTAGTAAAAACTGTGGGAGGAGTTAGGGTGGTAAATTTGGCTATAATAAGAAGAATATATATGTGAGATAACAGTAAGTGGTCTTGCCATGCAAGAACACTTAATGATTCATACTCTGAATGGTCTGGGGTCATCAGTGGTGTACCCCAAGGTTCAGTGTTGGGACCCTTACTTTTTAATATATTTATAAACGATATAGGGTCTGAGATTAAAAATCCCATTTCAGTCTTTGCAGATGACACCAAGCTGTGCAGTGGAATAACGTCCTTACAGGATGTCTTCAATTTACAAGCGGACCTCAATGCACTGTTTAATTGGGCAACTATGTGGCAAATGAGGTTTAATGTTGACAAATGTAGAGTTATGCACTTGCTGGCTAAGAATATGCATACATCATACATACTATTGGAGCACAACTGGTGGAATCAATAGTGGAGAAGGATCTGGGAGTTCTGGTAGATCACAAGCTTAATAATGACATGAAATGGCAAACTGCGGTTTGTAAAGTGAGCAAAATCCTCTCTTGTATTAAAAGAAGTATAGACTCCAGAGAGAGAGATATCATAGTACCCTATACAAAACATTAGTAATAGCTCATCTGGAATATGCAGTTCAGTTTTGGACACCAATTCACAAAAAGAACATTGGGGAACTTGAGAAAGTACAGAGAAGGGCAACTAAACTGATATGAGGCATGGAGGAGATCAGCTATGAGGAAAGATTAGAGGAACTGAATTTATTCTCTCTGGAGAAGAGGAGATTAAGGGGG